ATGTATCTATAGCAACTATGTAAGTACGAGTATACATACTACCTGTGTAAGTATATCCATGTATCTATAGCAACTACGTAAGTGCGAGTATATATACTACCTGTTTAAGTATATCCATGTATCTATAACAACTATGTAAGTGCGAGTATATATACTACCTGTGTTAGTATATCCATGTATCTATAGTAACTATGTAAGTGCGAGTATACATACTACCTATGCAATGTGTAAGTATATTCATGTATCTATAGCAACTATGTAAGTGCGAGTAAATATACTACCTGCGTAAGTATATCCATATATCTATAGCAACTATGTAAGTGCGAGTATACATACTACCTGTGTAAGTATATCCATGTATCTATAGCAACTATGTAAGTGCGAGTATACATACTACCTGTGTAATGTGTTAGTATATCCATGTATCTATAACAACTATGTAAGTGCGAGTATACATACTACCTGTGTAATGTGTAAGTATATCCATGTATCTATAGCAACTATGTAAGTTTGAGTATATATACTACCTGCGTAAGTATATCCATTTATCTATAGCAACTATGTAAGTGTGAGTATACATACTACCTGTGTAAGTATATCCATGTATCTATAGCAACTATGTAAGTGCGAGTATACATACTTCCTGTGTAATGTGTCAGTATATCCAAGTATCTATAGCAACTATGTAAGTGCGAGTATATATACTACCTATGTTAGTATATCCATGTATCTATAGTAACTATGTAAGTGTGAGTATACATACTACCTGTGTAAGTATATCCATGTATCTATAGAAACTATGTAAGTGCGAGTATACATACTTCCTGTGTAATGTGTCAGTATATCCATGTATCTATAGCAACTATGTAAGTGCGAGTATATATACTACCTGTTTATGTGTATCTATATAACGATAGCCACTATGTAAGTGTGACTATGTACACTACCTGTGTAAGTGTGTCTATGCCACTTATACTAGAATATAACAGTATGTGAGTGTGCATATATACACTACCTGTGTAAGTGTGTCTATGTAACTCATACTAGAATATGGCAGTATGTAAGTGTGCCTATATACACGACCTGTGTATTTGTATCTATATAACTATATACTATCATATGTTAGTACATTCCATATTCAGTAGTATAAATGGGGCACTCAAGCGTACACTTGTGAATGTCTGCATTCAATCTTCAAAACCCTAAAACCCTGAAACCTTAAAACCTTATTCCGTTCACAGACCTTACGTCACCCAGCACGCGGCGGAGGGAGAGCCAGGCCAGTTTAGATGGCAAAGACACGTGTGATCTCAACCACGCGAGGCTGGGCAAATGCCGATCTACGGGGATGTCACATAACGGACCTATCAGCAGCAATGGTGGGTGGTACTATACTTGCTAATCGTATGTATTGATATTGTATCTGCCATCACATACTCACTGTGGCACTATACTTGTGAATCGTATGTACTGACGTTGTACCTGTCATCACACACTCACTTAGACGTTAAACTGTAGGGTGAGGATGTAATAGGGACCTATCAGTAGCAATGGTGGGTGGTACTATACTTGTTAGTCGTATGTAATGATGTTGTAGATGCCATCACACACTCACCTAGACGTTAAACTACAGGGTAAGGATGTAATAGTTGCCGTGGTGCGTGGTACTATGCATATGCCTCTCCATGCTATCACACATTCACTCACACGTTAAACTATAGAGCATGTGTGTATTGTATGGGACAAGTATGTGATAAAGAGTAGCAATAGTGCGTGTTTCTCTGTCCCTCTCCCAATGGAGCTGTACACACCACCACACTCTCACATGCATGTTAACCTACAGACAACTTTGTCCGAGATCAAGACCAAGGACCAAGATCAAAGTCATAACCAACACCTATGCTTTATATATACATTTATCATAAAACACTTTATATACTATACATCAATTTATAGACTACATGTCATTTTATATACTATATAATATTATACATATTATAAACCAATTTGTATAATATATGTTACTTTATATATTATATAAATTTTTATATACTATACAATACTTATATACTAAATTCTTATATATATATATATATACCATATACAGTTTTATGTACCACATAACACCTTATATACTATATACCATTCCACCAACAGGCACACCGGTGGCAATGATGGCCAGCAGTGGCTGTGACGAGTCGCCCGCGCGGAGTCGGTCACAGGTCATGCGCCGCATGACAGACCTGCACGACGCGGATTACAACGCGCATCCCAGCGCGCAGATATCAGCGTTGCAGTATACTAAGCGCGCGTCGCCGCAGGCCAGACAGTCAGAGCCAGACGCCAGCGTAGCCAATCTGATGAAGAAACTCAGCGAGAAGAGTGACATAAACATGGATATAGAGGTGGAGGTAGATATAGAGATGGAGGTAGATATAGACACGGCAGCGTGTGTGGGTATACATATACAAGCAGCGGAGGAGAGTGTCGCACCCGAGGCTGGTAGTGGACAATTAACCGAGAGCTCGGATGACACCACCAACCTGGACACCCGGACGTACCGCCAACAAACTCTCAGCGAAAGCACCAGTATAAACATAGGCATCGAGAAACTGTCTGGGGTGACTAAAGACACCCAACCTGCACCTGCACCTGTTCCCATATGTAGGACCGCATCCAACCACAGCCATATCGCCGCACATTCGGACAGGGCAAGCGAGAAGGACGATGAGTCTGGAGATGGAGGTACAAGCAATGTAGGTGTCAGTAGTGCAGGTACAAATAGTGTAGGTGCAAAAAATGTAGGTGGAAATAGTGTAGCTACAAGTGTCTGCCTCAGGCGGCCGAGTGCGGCGAGTATCCGAAGCGTGGAAAGCGGCACCAGTCTCGCGTCTGTGGATGATGCGGTGACGCGATCTGGCAGCACCAGTTCTAACTTCTACAACACACGCCTGCCCAATGTTATTGACCTGTACTCAGACGGCGATGAGAGGTGTAAAGGGCGGGATGAGTGGGATGGATGTCTGTGTGTCTGTTTGCAGAGCTTTATGTATATGTATGTGCATAGGTTCTAACTTCTACAACACACGCCTGCCCAATGTTATTGACCTGTAATCAGACAGCGATGAGAGGTGTGTAGTGGGGATGAGTGGGATGGATGTCTGTGTCTGTTTGCAGAGCTTTATGTATATGTATGTGCATAGGTTTTAACTTCTACTACACACGCCTGCCCAATGTTATTGACCTGTACTCAGACG